AGCAATTGCGTCTGATGGCAGTATGAGTACTGAGGTGAACTCGCGTGTGAGTGCGGCTTGGTCCAAGTGGCGTTCTATGACGGGAGTTCTCTGTGACAAGAAAATCCCAGAACGCCTAAAATCGAAGATCTATAGGACAGTCATAAGACCAGTGGCATTGTACGGCGCTGAGTGCTGGCCAGCGACCAGGGACACTGAAACTCGCCTCGGTGTAATGGAGACGAAGATGCTGCGCTGGACGGCTGGTGTCACGCGATTAGATCGCGTCCGGAACGATGTCATACGAGAACGCTTTGGTGTAGCTCCCATTGCTGATAAAATGCGCGAAGCTCGGCTTCGTTGGTTTGGCCACGTTCTTCGCGGAAATGATGACAGTGTTCGCAAGATCGGCCTCAACATAGACGTGCACGGAAAGCGGCCCAAGGGGCGCCCGAAACAGCGCTGGCTCGATACGTTGCACGCAGACTTGAAGTTGGTTAACATCCACCCCGACCAAGCATTTAATCGGGAAAAGTGGCGACAGCACATCAGAAAAGCGGACCCCGCCAACAAGCGGGACAAACGCTGAAGAATAAGAAGAAGAAGAAACTGTTGTTCCAAGTTACTCCGATGGATTCATGAGCTACTACTAACTTATCGATCGACAGTTTTTTTCCTTTTGAAATCAGGTAACCTTCTCTATCTGTTCTGACGTAGGGGTTCTATAGTGCCACGTACACGAATATCACATTCATTTTCATCGACGCCTATATTTCACTCTACTTCGGTTCCAATTGGTGTCATTCTAGCGCTACAACATTTTCCCACAAGTTTTCGGTGAAACTCACATGTATGAGTCCCAATAATGAACATAGCACTTATGGTTAGTCTCCGCTGAAACTACATCTTTGGTCATTATATGAGAATATCATGCCCTACGAAACTGACCCAATGGGAACCGACAGTAGCAAGTCAATGTGAGGACCAACAACGCGTCGATGAAAATGAATGTGATATTCGTGTACGTGGCACTATATAACCCCTATGTCAGAACAGATAGAGAAGGTTACCTGATTTCAAAAGAAAAAAAAACTGTCCATCGATAAGTTAGTAGTAGCTCATGAATCCATCGGAGTAACTTGGAAACAAGTTCCTAAGTTATCATTGTGAATTATTAAGAAATTTCGTACCAAACTGGACATTATCAGACGCTGAAGCAGATGAGGGACGAGGGGCCCACAGTATCCTATAATTGTCAGATGGGTGAAAATGTAGTTCGGGGGGGGGCACTCTATCTAATCGAAGTGAAGCTGCGGAAAGACACTCATATCTAATCAAAGTAGAGTTGCGGGAAGGCACTTATATCTTATCATATCTTTCACTTAAGACCGTGGCCACTGGACTAGTACGCTTACTCCTGTCATATTGGTCTAGGGCTAAAAATGGCTGCTACCCTGCTGGCTCCTTCCTTTCATCAAACCTTCTTGCGACTGCCATACAAACCCTCGAAGAAAGGGCCTCCCAGGTATCCGATTTTGTATGGCACGGATTGGTATCCCTATCTAATCATACACTCAGAGACTGTGCTCCGGATGGTGATTAGATATGACCGCCCTACCGCAGCTCCACTTCGATTAGATATTGCCAGTTCGATTAGATATTATGAGTGGCCCCCCCCCCCAAACTACATTTTCACCGAGATTCTCTCCTACTCAAGGGATGACAGGTTTGACTGCCAGCTTTTCACTCACTAAGTCTCTTCTCGATAAATGCAGCGATTTCAATAACTGCGACGCGATGGAATTTTCTCCACATATTCCAATTTTGAGTTCCGAGAACCACCAGGGTAAATCTCTTGTTTTTAGCGTCGTGTTTGTCTTCAAATAATTCGTCGGCGTAGCGGGTTGCCAACCCATGGTCACTCCAGGAGATCAGGAAAATCTCGATCTCCTCCGAAAGTTAGGTACTACAAGGGGACATTGGAGCCCTGATCACGATCTCAAGTTGGTTTTTGGCATCGGCCCCGTTCAGCATCAGTTTGGCGTTGCTAATTTTTTCTGCCAATAGCATTTGTAGGCGTTACTGATACTCCCGATTGAGGATATGGCAACTATTTTAGCGCTAAGGCCATCTGATCCCATATGGAGGTGACATAACT